TATGAATGTATGTGTGCTTAAATCTAGATTTGAGTATGAGAGAAAATGTGTGGTATTTGTGCTGTGTGCCTAGTTTAGTTCATTTAACATAATGATCTCCAGTTAACTAATCTTTTCTCACAAATATAATTTCATTCTCTTAAGAGTGGAATAAGGTTTCATTGTGCACAATGCAGCAATAAATATGCATGTGTAAATGTCTAAATGTCTTTCTCATATGTTAACATGGTGACTTTATCTGTGCTATATATCATAATCATAGTAATATAGTAGCTCAATTTTTAGCTTTTCAATAACCTCCACACTTATTTCCATAGTGTTTATGCCAGTTTATAATCCCACAAGTAGTGCACATGGGTACTTCTTTCTTTGAACCCTCTCTAGTATTTGCTGTTTTCTTTTGGAAGGTAATTTGAAATGGAATCTCAGAGCATTCTCAATTCACATTTCTGTGGTGGCTCATGATATTGAACATGTTTTAAAATATTTATTGACCACTAATATTTCTTATTTCGAGAACTGTCTTTGGCCACATTCCCCCCATAACTCTCTACCCTCCCATCTCTCCATTTCTCATTTTTGTTAGTTCCCATTTTCCCCTTAGACAGTTTCCCCTCTACTCATACATAAAGACACAATTTCATATATCTACAAAAATCTACAATCCAAAAATGAAAGAACACATGCAATATTTACCACTCTGAGTCTGATAAAACCCACTTAATGTGATAATATCAAGATGCATTCATTTTCCAACCCCTTCTTCCACAGAGATCCCTGAGCCTTTGGAGAAGAAGGTCAATATAGGTGTCCCATTTAGGGCTATGCACTCTCTGGGCTTTTACTTTCTGCACATTGACCAGTTATGAGTCTGTGTAGATCATTATCTGCTGCAACAGAAACCTCTGGTGAGAGTTGAGAGATACATTAATCTATAGGTATAACAATAAGCCATTATGAGTCAGTTAATATTATGATTATATAGCAGAATGAGCATAATAGGTTCTCCCCTATGGCTTGTGACTGCTCTGACTACAGGTTCTGGTGCTAATAGCAATGTCAGGTATGGACTCCCTATTGTTAAGTGGGCCTTACATTCAATTAGAAGGTGATTGGTTATCCCCATAGCATTCATGCCACTATTGTACCAGTGGGCATATTTTGCCAAGCCAATTATTATTTTCACTCACAGGGTCCTTAGATGGATAATTGATTATTATCTTCCTCTGACAGTAACGTGCACAGCACCTTGTACTATTATGAATGGTAACCAGAATAAATGTAGCTTCAAGATCAGTATCAACTTGATTTATCCTTATTTATTCTGCAACTCTGGAAAATAGTGTCTCCAGCAATAGGGTCTTACTGTCAAGTTCTGGTGGGTAACCAAGTGCATTGGCAATAGTCAGTATTGTTTGAGAATCTATGTGATCTTCCTAGTCAAGAACTCCAAAAGAGAGAGTCCATTCCTGGCATTGGGCTTTGCACTGGCAAGCCTTTGGTGTCTACTAGGGCCATTAAACCCCAGTTATACCATAACTACATTTAAGCTCTTTTGTACAGTATATGTAATATATTGAAAGAAGCTTCTATGGTAGGTTTCCAGATGACTCTTTTAAAAGGCCTTTAGTGTTAATTACCCTCCTTTACTCCCTCCTCTGCCCTACGTTCCCATTCCCAATGCCATAAAACCTAGATTTTTTTCAATGTATATTTTATTAAATTTTTGTATATTTCATACAATACATCTTAATCATATTTAGATTCCTTCCCTGCTTCATACCTCCATAGCCCTTCCTACTGTATTTCATGCATTTTGTCATGTATGTCAAGGTCTATCAAGTCAAGTTTGTATACCCAGCTGTTCCTCGGTGCATGTTTATCCACTGGAGTCTAGCCAGCCTATCTAGAGTCATTCCCTTAAAGAATATCAACTCTCCCTCACCCAGCAGTAATCAGCTGCCAATAGCTCCTTGGCTAATGTTGGAGCCTTCTGCCCATTTTCCAAATTCTATGCTGGGATTTTTGTCAGACTTAGTTTGCATGGGTCTTGTGCATGCTGGCATCATTGGTGTAAGTTCATATCAGCAAGTTCCCAGAGACCTGGAAGACTCTGTTTCCTTATATTCATGCACCAACCCGGGCTCTTACAGTCTTTCTGCCCCTTCTTCCACAATGGTTCCTGAGCCATAGGTGGGTGAAGTTTAATATAGGAGTCCTGTCCAGGGACACTGGCTCTGCATGCTTATTCTCTACATTTTGTCCTATTGTAGCTTTTTGTGTTCATCACACTCTGTTTCATGAGGAAGCTTCACTGCTTAGAGTTGAAGGATGCATTAGTATTCGCCCTCCCACCTGTTCCTCTATGTTTCATGAGTCTTAGGTTTAGAGGCTCCATGGTAGATGTGTCACTTAGGACTGGGCATCTCTCAGACACTTAATCTATGTGTGTATGATTATTGACTGATTTTCTCCCTTAGGAGCTTGCATAGAATCATCTAGAACTATGAGAGCTACTCTTCAGGGAGGAGGATTCCCAGTCAATTCCAGTTCCATTTCTCCAAGTCCTGTGTCCAAATATCTTCTGTCTTCAACAATAGTCTTACCTTCAAGTTTGGGGAGGTAATCAAGGTCTTTGGCAAATATGCTATTTTGGGAGTCTCTTGGACTACCCTGACCAACAATTTGGAGGGAGGTTTCTACTGTCTGGAACTGTGTTTCTTGTTATGTAACCTTCAGATAAAAGCATGTGCCCATGTTCAAATATTATATGTATATTTTTCAATAGGTTTTTGAGCCCATACATTTCCTTCTGGTTTTTCACACCACCTACCCTTTATTGCTCATCTTTCTTTGCCTGGCTAACTTCCCTCTTCCCTCCCTAGTTAAAGTACCCTCATTTTTCCCATTTCCCTTTGATAATACTTGTTTCCTATTATCCCCCTCCTTCTTCCCCTTACTCCTGTGGTTCCTTGTATTACCTTCCCCCCTTTCCCAGTTAAATACCCCTGCCCCCCGCATTTTTTGCACTTCCCACTTGGTGGCATCTGTCTCTTACTTCCCCTCTCTCAGGCTCTTTCTTTCTCTTTACCTCCAATGGTTCCTTTCCATTTTACTCTCTCCTGCAGTTATATCAGGATATATACTCACATATAAATAGTATATATCACATGGTGTTTATTTATTTTTCAACAAAGTATGTTTTTTGAGCATTTTTTTGATGGCACTGTTGCCCAAGAGTGATTAGAGCATCCTCAGAGACAAAGAATCAAGCAGGACAGGCATCTTCCCTGGGAAGGAACATAGGTGTGGGGGGTGTTCAATGTCCACATCACTCCCAAGAAGGAAGGAGCAAGAATCACATACACTTTTGGCTGGTTTGTGTCTGTGGAGCTCAGGGAGAAACTGAACACAGACACTTTCTGGCACTTTTAGCTATACCTCAAGACGAGAATGTCTGCTAATCAAAGGAAGAATTTAACTAAGCATCTCATACCATGATTTCCAAAATGGCAAGGCCAGATGTCCTTGGTGGCTATAGCTCTTCCCTCTTTGGATGTAAAGGAGAATATCTTCTTCATACTCAAAGCAGAAATTCAAATATCTCTCTCTGCCTATTAGAGAATTGCTCTGGTTTTCACTGCCACTATGAAAAAAGGTGTGTGTGTGTGTGTGTGTGTGTGTGTGCATGCGTATGCGTGTGTGTGCGTGAGTGTGTGTGTGTGCATGTGTGTGTTACTCAGCTTTCTTGTCATTGTGTTTAACTTATCTTTATCAAATTTCAGTACTTGTTCTGGGTTTTTCATTACAAAAGCATTGTATTTTACTGTTTCAATTAATAATAAATAATGAATATTATCTGTTTCAATAGTTCCCTAATTTCTAACAAATTTTACTTATTAGTGTGTGTGTGTGTGTGTGTGTACTATATGTGTGTGTGAGTGTGTGTGTGTGTGCGAGAGAGAGAGAGAGAGAGAGAGAGAGAGAGAGAGAGAGAGAATGCGGGCATATATGTCCCAAGGTGCATGTGTGGGGGTCAGAGGGAAACTTGGAGCCAATTCTTTCCTTTATTTCACTGTGGATTCCAAAGATCAAACAGGTGTCAATATTACAGGAAGCACCTTAACCAGTCAAGTCATCTCGAGCAGTGTGAGATTAAAAGTGAGAGAGCATTTTTAATATCTCTAAAACGTCATGTTTCTAAAACCAATATATGGAGGCAAAAGACTTCTAAGTCTTCCTATCAGGTGTCAAAAACAATTCTATTAGCATTCATTTTGGAGTTTCCATATTCCAACAAACCTTTCCTGGTCTCCCCAGGTTTCAGGATAATGATCATGCTGTTTAAATGGGTTCTTACATTAGAACAGGAGTGTAATGTATGGCAATATTTCTACAGCCTGCAATGTTAGGCTTGTTAACCATGAGCACATTCATCTCCTTAAAGACTGCTGTCAACATTAGATGGACTATATGAAGTATTGGTTAAGTATATGTAGCATAAAATTGAACAACTGAATGAATACCTGTCTGGACAGGTTTTTTTATTTCCCTAATTCCAAAAATTTTATCTAAGAATTCTTGGGATTTCTATACTGACAAATTTATAGATTTAATATGAAACTTAGATGCAGAAGTCAAAGACTTTTAGGAACTAAATCTATGGATTTGAATGATGATCTCACTTCTACTTATCCTCATGACTCTGAAGGAACTCAGCATTAGAATCTGACATGACACACAGCAAGTTCAAAGTACTGCTTGCTACATAAAAAAATAAAGGCCAATATCTTGGCGTTTGCAGGACTTCCATAACACCAATAACTATTAATACCATTTTTACTAGCCATACAATGTACTCCAATAAATAAAGAGGCATATAAAGCCTCAGAACAGAGAACTAGAATTTTATATCAATCAGCTAAGCAGACAGGGTGAACAGTAAGTATGACATGAGTAAATGCCATATTTATAAATTTCTTGAACTCAAGGAATTGTTTTTATGAATATACTCTAGCAGTTGCTTTCTTGAGGGCCTCCTTTACATCTCTGTTTCTCAGACTATAGATGAGGGGGTTCAGCATGGGAGTCACCACTGTGTAGAACAGGGACACTATCTTGTTTTGTTCAGTGGAGTAGCTGGACTTGGGCATCACATAAATGAAACTAATAGTTCCATAATAGAGAGTGACCACTGTAAGATGGGAGGTACAAGTGGAGAAGGCCTTGTGGCGGCCCTCAGCTGAGCGCATCTTTAGGATGGTGCCCAGGATGTAGATGTAGGAGAGCACTATGATAAACACTGTGATCACAAGGATGGACCCAGAAGAGATGGAGGGAATGATTCCAATAATGGAGATGTCTGAGCAAGAATGTTTCAGCATAGGAGAGAAGTCACAGAAAAAGTGATCTATCTGATTTGGTCCACAGAAGGACAGATTTAACAAACAACCAGTGAATGTCCAACCATTCACGCAACCGCCCACATAGGAAGATCCCAATAATAGAAAACAGACTCTGGGAGACATCTGGGTGGAGTAGAGCAGAGGAGAGCAGATGGCCACGTAGCGGTCATAGGCCATGGCAGCCAGCAGAAAGCATTCAGCTGACCCAAACAGCACTGTAATACAGAGCTGGGCTTCACAGCCAGCCACAGGGATGGTCAGTCCATGTCCAAGGAGCTCCATGAGCATTATAACCGAGACTGTTGTTGAACAAACAATATCTACAAAAGCCAAGTGACTAAGGAAAAGGTACATGGGAGTGTGAAGCTGGGAAGAAATTCTTATTAAAGTGATTATGCTGATATTGCCTAATAACGTGACAATATATACGCCTAGAAATATCACAAAGAAGACTATACACAGTGTAGGATCTTCTGTTAACCCCAAAATGATGAACTCTGTCACAGTGCTGCTGTTTTCCACCTCCGTCTCTTGTGTCAATTGTTCCTGTTTAAGGAAATGAGAAATTCATTTAATGTTTTCTTTCCACACATTCTGGTTTTCTTTGGTTAGTCTTCAGATTCGTTCATAGTAATCTCCTCCTATGCCCAACATGTAAACTTCAATCTAGTTCTTTAGGATGAGATATTTGTCCTTTCACCTCTGCATAAAATTAGAATTAATAAGTGTACATTCTGCTATCACAGATACATTTATTTTCTTTGTGTACTATTTATATAAAATAACCCACAATCCTTATTTCATAACAAGATTACTCTCCTAAGGGTCAGGTCCATAATTTCACCAGTCTGTTAGAATTACCATTTTTCGCAGTGATTTGCAGAATTCCTCAAATACCCTTTACCCTGTCTTCACCATAAAAAATCCATACTTCAAGCATTTCATCAATGTTTTACATTTGGGGAATAAAATTTCATTCATTCAGAGTCTCATGTCCAAAATTTTGGGGCTTTCTTGGCCTTCTTTTTTTAATTGTTTTCCAAAACTTGCAAAATTTTGATGTCTGTTTATTTAAAATTTTTTAAAGTTGACATAAAATATATTCAAAGAGTTCTATGTGAGGTTTTATAATGAAAGCTTTCAAAGGCTTTCTAGGTTTTGTGAAATACACAGGACATTCTTATCTGTAACACCCTACTGTGCCTTAGAACACCAGTGTTTCTTGTTCCTCTCTAGCTATAACAAAGTACCCTGTTCCCAGGTTTTCAACATCCCCAACATACAGCAGGTATTTTCAGAATAAGAACTCAAAGGACCAGTCATATCCTGTCCAGTTCTTTTTGTTGGAAAGTGGTCACAGAATTCATCAGGATTAAATTCACAGAGTCATCATCTGTCATCTCCTTCCATGGTACTGATCTGGATTATCGAATGGTCACAAGATGCTGACAAATTATTTTTGTGGTGCCAACAGGGTGCTGAGGCTAGAAACTTGCAATACTTTATTTTCTGTTATGCCCTCTGCCCCGGTGTTTCTTAGATAAACATAGATCCATTAGAAATGGTGATGTATTGGATATGACTATTTCCTTGGATGAAGAGGCTTCAGGAGCATCTGGGAGCCTGCCTAATGGTATTGTGTGTGATGACCTGGCCTTCCCTGGACACCTGAGGTCTCACCATGGGCAAAGCGATTTTTGTCTTGGATAGCTTTCATGGCTGAATCAAGGTATTGACCAGCACTCTTGCTCCATTTCCAGCTCACCCCTCTAGATGTGTGTATCATTGTGTGCATCTTTTTTAATTATTTATTTAATAACCACATCATTAGAAGAAACACTTCATTTCAGCATTAAAACAGTCAATAACAATTTCCAGAGCAAAGATGCATCTTTTTCAATATTGTTTGTAAATTTTTAGGTTCACAGTTGAATTAGCACAGTTAAACAGTATTGAACTCAGTATAAACCATATAAGACATAAAATTGAGTGAGGTTTTAACCTTTAAAAAAGATCTCCATTTCATTTTAAAATATACTGTTTCATACAGAAAAACTCATTTTAATGCTACTTACACTTAGATGTTTGCACATATGTCTCTAACCTCTATGTATCTGATTATTACTAGTTACAGTCAGTTACTTTGTGAGATCCACCTGAGCATGGATATAAAATCATCAAGTAGATTTCAATGGTAATGTGTTTCCCCTCTACTAATTAACATGGAGCAAATTTTGTACACTTTGTACAACAGTTTTTAATCAAATTTAGATCCCCTTCCTATCCATACCCCCCACCCCACCCCCACTGAACCTCATGCATTCTGTCACACATGTTAAATCCTATCCAGTCAAGCATTTGTACCCAGATGTCCTTTCATGCAAATTCATCACCTGGAGCCTAAACAGTCTATCTAGAGATCATGAGTAAGGCCTACTCTCCCTCCCCAGTAGAAATTAGTTTCCAGTATTTCCCACACTGGGGTCAGCCTGCCACCCATTTCCCACACTGCACTCTGGGCCCTTGTCTGATTGAGTTGGCATGGGTCCTGTGCTCAGTGCCACCATTGCCACAAGTTCACATGTGCAAGTTTCTGGTGGCCTGAAATCTTCTATTTCCCTATGTTCATTAACCAGTCCTGAAGTATTTCTTATGTACCTAAGTATGGTTTTCTATTTATAGTTACTACTTTTTTTGTCTTTTTTGAGACAGAGTCTCCCTGTAGCCTCAGCTGTCCTGGAACTCACTATGTAGACCAGGCCAGCCTTGAACTTACAGAGATCTGCCTGCCTCTGCCTCCTGAGTGCTGGGATTAAAGGAGTGTGCCACCACGCCTGACTATAGTTACTACTTTTAATAGTCATAGTAATACAATTTTCTTCTTGCAACATTATCACAGTTGTTAAGGATTTAAACGCCAAAACCAGTAATGTTTTGACTGTCTTCCAAATGTGTCATATCCTTTAAAGTTTTTCAAAGTTCTTCCTTCACAGGAAATAAGCATCTAGCTTCTCTGGTTGTGGAACTGAGCTCATGACTGGGTGAATAGTGAAGTTCAATGACTCAATGGCTGAGCACCGGAAGCCCTTCAAGAATATCTTCTGATTGTTGTTTGATGATCTTCATTAAAAGTGCTTAAGTTACTGTAGTAACAGGTAGTAACTTTGATGTTATAACCATCATTAAAAAATCTGTTTTCAAATTTTGCAAATTTTCAGCATGAGTTCAGTGCTACAAATGGTCTACTTTCTACATAAAATCATTGAAATACTAGAATAGAGCAATGATGCCTCTACTGAATTGCATTGTCTAAAATTAGGCACTCATAGTTGCTTTGTGCAGTCCACCTGTGACATGCTTTTTAGACCCCTTGAAACCCTCTCTTTTCAAACTCTGAACACACTCAGGTTTGAAAAATCGGACCAAGCACACCACAGCCTTCCTGTGCCTTCTGACTCCAGAGGAGTTCAGAGTTCCAACCCTGCCCTGATTCTGAAATTATACCTGTGTTGACTGCAGAATGACAGCGACTGTGGTCAGAGACGACAGATCCTCACTAGAAGTGTTAACTTGTACATGACACTCATCTCTTTGACTCTGCTCTTTGTACAGTGGGATCATTGTACACATCAGTATAGTTTTGTTGTGACATAAACAAAGGGGTATCTCTAAAATGACATAGGCATTTGATCACACATCAGAATTAGGTAAGATTTAATAAAATTTAAAATGCAATAGGTAGTGTTTTCAGTCATTCAGCATTATGATGTATAAATTTACTTAAAAATAAGATGGAAAAGTAAGAAAGGAGTTATAGGATTCCTGTTCCTTTAGTTATGAACTATTCAATATGTAGAATCACTTTCCCTACTCTTCTCCACTGGATACCTAAATTCTAGGGCTTTCTGATGACTTTCATACTTGTAAGCAGCTTAGGGATACAGATCAGTCAAATCTTTTCCTTCAATTCACCAGTCATGAGTGATGATAGAGGAGATAGGATTGTGAACCTTATCGAGCTCAAATGAGGCTATTTCTTCTGATTTCCTTTTCTTTTTTCTTTTAGCCATTTAATCCATGTGTACTTTCTACTGTCCCTGTACTGCTGTGCAGGGCAGTGGAAGGTGCAGAGGATAACAAGGTCACATTACAGTCATAGTTCCTGTGCTCATGCATTTCTTAGCTCTGAAAAAGCTGTTGACTCCTTTCTTTTTCTTACCAATATTCCTGTGCCGTCCTAGTGTACCCTTGGACCACTGAGAAAAATCCTGGCTGTCTCCTGGCTGAGGTCTGCTCCCATCACCTCCTACCTCAGTATGTCCTTCACAAATGTAGCTTAACCCCATTTTCTCATTCCCCATACTTGGTCAAGGGATTCTTAACAATGGTTTTGGCTGGCATAGATCATCCACATTTCCCAGCGCCTCCTAGGAAGGTTGGTCAAGTGGCTTTGCATTGTGCCTCTCTTACTGAGTTCTTCATTTTCTCAGAAGTCAAGAGCTAACTAGTGAAAGTTCTGTATTTCAATTTCCTCTTGAATCAAAGATAAATTTACCTTAACAAAATCCAAGGATCTTGCACCTACCATTTAGAATAAGTATTTGGTCCTGGATTCCAAATAAGACTTTATGAAGCAGATGTATTCCATTTTTTTTTGACAGGGAGATTCAGGATGAATACAGTATGAACCACTGAATGTACTCAATGTCAAGGAGTATAGTAGCATACATGCAGAGTAGATAAGGATGAGTGTCCATGTGCATGGTGGGAGAGAGAAGGCCCTAATCAAAGGTTACAAACCCTTAAGGATTATGTTTCTTCTTGTCCCTTTGAGAAAATTGTCCTAAGTTTTGTTAAACAGAAATGACTTATGGAACCAGGTGGCTCATTAAAACCTGGCTGCCCCTTCCCAAGGGACAATACACACAATGAGTGTCTTCTGAAATTCTTTTGCACTTGTTTACTGAAAGTAAATGAGATATTTCTTGGTTTCCCAGAAGACTGTATGACATTTAGAAAATAACATATCTAGTTGTTGTTATCATAATGATATGAGTATTTTTCAATTAAATATCCTTTGAATAAAACTGAAAAGGAGCACTGAAATGGAAGGCTGGGATAGCAACAAATGAAATAGCTTTGGCATTACTGTTATTATTATTTATAGAATTTACACTTTTTTCTGTGTCTTGGCCCTGGTCCTTGCCACCATTCAATATAACAACTGAAGAAGCTCCCTAAAGCAACTGAGTGACTGAATTCTATTGAAGCAACAGACAAGAAGACAAATATGTTAAATACTTGACTCAATTCACCCTAATATCCATCCTTCCTTTCCATGTCTTATGGGTTAATGTCATTTCTACAGCTCTTTGGACAAGTTCCAGCAGGCATAGCACCTGAAAGTGAGTTAGTTTCTTAACATAATGCACATTGTCTATGCTCCAATTCTATTCAAGTAGAAACTGCTTTACTTCCTACACCACACATTTACTCCATGTTCCTTCTAGGAT